ACGACCTGTCTCCACAAGCAGTTTTAGTGTGCTCAGTGCCTTATGTCAAATTCCAGTGTCTGACCTTGCTCAGGCCACCTAGGGCAACATCAGATTTCTTTGTTTTCCGGTTTTGGTTGGAAATGTGTTACTACAGATCCCTTATATAGTTTCTCTTCCAAAACTACACATCAGACAGATAAACTATTAGAAAACTGCTCTGCACAACAAATATATAAACATGTTTAATTTCCTTTCAAATAAGTTTGAGAAAAATAAATGTTTTCAGGAGAATTTCTCCAACAGCCTGAGTCAAGTGATGATGGGAGAGGGAAGGGGAGGAAGACCACGTACAAGCTTGAGCCACAGAACGTAGCCAGCAGCAGAACAGGCTCTTCCTAAACAACCCTCTCCTAGGACCAGGGAAACAAGCTAGTGGAGGAATAGAGATTGACATTCGTGGGGTTCCCCTCTTCCAGCACCCGATCCCACTGAATACACTATGAGAGAGCCAGGTACCATCTTTACTGCCAGCCTAGGCCCCTACTCTCTGCAAAGCCCACCTGCTGTGGCCATCAACCACCTCTTCATTCAAAAGACAGGCAGGTAAGCGAGGCAGCCTCCCATCCTGTGTGCGCTGATCTTGTCTCCTAGGATATAGGAGGAAAGGGATGGCGGTCCTTGAGCTAGAAAGAACTGTTTACCCACCAGAAGAGGGCACAGAGGCAGGGCTGACCTGCTACTGCCAGGAAGATGAAAGTGAATACACTATGAGAGAGCCAGGTACCATCTTTACTGTCAGCCTAGGCCCCCTACTCTCTGCAAAGCCCACCTGCTGTGGCCATCAACCACCTCTTCATTCAAAAGACAGGCAGGTAAGCGAGGCAGCCTCCCATCCTGTGTGCGCTGATCTTGTCTCCTAGGATATAGGAGGAAAGGGATGGCGGTCCTTGAGCTAGAAAGAACTGTTTACCCACCAGAAGAGGGCACAGAGGCAGGGCTGACCTGCTACTGCCAGGAAGATGAAAAAGCCCAACCTCAGCTATCAAAGGCTCCAACCTCCCACCCAAACCACATCAGGGTGAGGAGTCAGGGCACAGTACATGTGCGTGTACTGTGCACACCAGGGGTGTTCAGTCTTGCATAGGAGGTTTTTAACTCATAGGTTTTAAAGAGTAAGGCTTCTGGGGCTGGCGAGATGGTTCAGCCGAGAAGGGCATTTCTATTACACAGGATCTGATCATAACTATTTACAAAAAGATCCAGCCAGGTATGGTGCTGCACACCTTTAACCCCAGCACTCAGGAGGCAGAGGCAGGCAGATCCTATTACACAGGATCTGATCATAACTATTTACAAAAAGATCCAGCCAGGTGTGGTGCTGCACACCTTTAACCCCAGCACTCAGGAGGCAGAGGCAGGCAGATGTCTGTGACTTCAAGGTCAGCCTGCTGGTCTACATAGTGAGATCCTGTCTCAAAAAAAAAAGACTTTCTCCTTCTCTTTCCCTTCCTCCTCAGACAGGGCAGGGTCTCTCTGTGTTGCCCAGGCTGTGCTTGGGTTGGAGCAATGGCTCAGCGGTTAGGAGCACTGATTACTCTGGCAGCGGACCTAGGTTCAGTTCCTACCACCCACATGGCAGCTGACAACTGTCCTTGACTCCAGTTCCATGGAATCTGACACCCTCTTCTGACCTCTGAGGGCATTACCTCTGCAGGCATTGCACGACATGGGTGCACGTACTTACATGCAGGCAACACATGAATACACATAAAATAAAAATAAACAAAGTCGGGTGGGGTGGTGCACGCCTGTAGTCCCAGCACTTGGGAGGCAGAGGCAGGTGGATCTCTGTGAGTTCAAGGCCAGCCTGGTCTACACAGTGAGTTCCAGGACAGCTGGGGCTACAGGGAGAGCCTGTCTCAAAAAACCAAAATAAAATGAATAAAATATTTTTTTTTAATTAAAACATTCCTTTATAAAGAATAACTGAAAAATACTAGCAATTTGCTGTGGTCCCATCCAGTCCTGCCTCAGTGTACATAAATGCATACATGACAGATTTATTCAGAGATGTGTGACCACACTATGCACTGTCAACTTTCTGTTTTCCTTTTTTAAAATACCCCAATTCATTTTACTGCCTAGAGAAAATACTTAGTTTCCCCCCCTTCTTTTTGTGCTTGTGTGTGTGTGTGTATTTACAGACATGGTCTCACACAGCCTAGGGTGTCCTAGAATGCCTCTGTAGCTCAGGTTGTCCTCAAACTTGAGATCCTCCTGCCTCTGGCTCCTGAGTGTTGGGATTGCATGGTCCACCACACCCAACTTAAATTAGCAGAATACTTGGGAGTAAACACATTACACTTGTTAAAATATTTTAACCTACATGCCCAAAACATTAATAGCAACCAGAAGCAGACCAAATGGGGCTGATGGGCTTGGATGCCGTGAGAGTTTGGCTGTGTAGCCCTGGTTGGTTGAAAATCACAACCCTCTTGCCTCACAGCCTTTTCATTTAGCATCTTCTATTTTTCCACAGGAATCTAGAATCTAGCTCTTTCTTTTTGATGACTATATAATTAATGTTCCACTGTGTGCAAATCTCCCCACCCCTAGTTGACAGACTTTGTTTCCAAAAACATTCAGCTGCACACATATATCTCTGTGGACTTGTTACAATATTTGTTTGGGGTGGATTTTCAGAAGTGGAATTTCTGAGTCAAAGAACACGTGCACTTTTGCCAAACTGTTCTCAACACAGGAATGCCAAGAATACACAGGCAGGCTGCTTCCCTTCACTGTAAGTACACGCCACCTTTTAGTACTGCTGATGTGCAAATACCCAAGGCTCTGGGTTCAATCTCTAGCACTAAAGAAACACACGCTCAAAACCACCACACACACATACAAAACCTCAGCTAAAATGTTACAGGCAGGTAAGGCGGCTTGCAGTCCCAGTTGCATGGGCATGGGAGGCTAGGGCAGGAAGACTGCTTGAGCCAAGGAGCTCAAGGCCAGCGTAGGCAACACACCAGGATTCTGTTTCAAAGAAAAGGGGGCTTGCCGGGCGTGGTGGGGCACCCCTTTAGTCCCAGTACTCATGAGGCAGAGGCAGGTGGATCTCTGTGAGTTCAAGGCCAGCCTGGTCTACATAGTAAGCTCTGGGCCAGCTGGGGCTATAGGGAGATCCTGCCTCAAAAGACAAAAAAAATAAGAAAAAGGAAAAAAAGAAAAGGCTGAAGAGATGGAAGAGATGGCTCAGAGTTAAGAGCACTGGCTGATCTTCCAGAGGACCCAGGTTCGGTTCCCAGCACCCACATGGCAGCAAATAACTACCTGTAACTCCAGTTCTAGGGGAATCCAATGCCCTCTTCTGGCCTCTGTGGACATTGCACATATATGGTACACTTGCATACATCCAGGCAAACACTCATACATATAAATTAAAAAAATAAATAAGGGGGCTGGAGAGATGGCTCAGCAGTTAAAAGCACTGACTGTTCTTCACAGGACCTGGCTTGATTCCCAGCATCCACATGGCAGCTAACAACCATCTGTAACTCAAGTTCCAGGGGATCTGACGCCTCTTCTCACCTCCACAGGCACTGTACGACACAGGTGCACTTACATGCTGGCAATATACTCATACATGTAAAATAGAAATAATAAAAATTTTTTGTGGTCTTTTTGAGACGTATTCTCCTTGTAGCCCCAGCTCTCCTGAACTCGCTATGTAGACCAGGCTGGCCTTGAACTCAGAGATCCACAAGTGTGGGGACTAAAGGCATGCGCCACCACACCCGGCTGGTAAATTCTTTTACCACCTGCACATCCTCCGCCTGTCACTGCCATTTCCTGGAACAGCACTGTGGCAGTCTGACCTGGAACCTCTCCTTGTCTCTCCTCTTGGTGCTTAGCCAACTGGCCTGTGGCCATCTGAGTACCTCTGAGGGCAGCACTCCGGTGAGACCCGAAGGCTGAGGCCGCACTCCGGTGAGACCCGAAGGCTGAGGCCGCACTCCGGTGACACCCGAAGGCTGAGGCCGCACTCCGGTGAGACCCGAAGGCTGAGGCCGCACTCCGGTGAGACCCGAAGGCTGAGGCTGCACTCCAGTAGACCCAAAGGCCCCTGGCTCTGGCCCCTGCTGCCTGTCAGGGTACAAGCTAAGAAGTTCCTCTTGTCAGTTGTGGAGAACCTACTTCTGTCCTTCTGGATGCCTCTTTACTCTGTGATGCTCGGCTGGGGAGAATCCACACACTCTGTGAGGACTCCCTCCTCTCCCCTTCTTCCTCTTTTCTCACCCTGGAGATAATGGTTTCCCTGTCTCCATCAGACTTTCTGAGCCACACATCCCATATGTAACTGTCTTTCCACTTTCTCCAGGATAGTGAGCCAGGTCCTGTCATAAATGATCTGGGGTGAGTTTCCCTCTCGGGTCAGTCCAGCCTAATCAGCTGGATGGGTTTGGCTC